TGCAGCCCAGCTCAGCACCTTAGGGATCGAGGGCCAGACAAACAAGGTGGATGGGACTCATGTCAGGGCATGCGTGGCACATGGAACGAATAACAGTGAAGCCTCTAGAAGCAGGCAGACGTAACACAGGGGCATGTAAGAGGAAAGAACCATTCACCTCACTAGCTTCCTTCCTTCCTTCCTTGCCCCTTACTGACCAAACAGGGAGGTTCATCTTTTGCAGGCTAAAAACTCATGCTTTGCCTATTAGAATATTTTTAATTGCTCTTTGTTCTTCGTTAGTCGATCCCAACATGACCAGGAACACGGACACTGTGCAAGGTGGGCCATTTCTATCCCAGGTGGCTGAGAAAGAACTCCATTTGTTTTTTAAAAAATCTTTGTTTCTTTTATTCTTCTTCCTTCTACTAACCTCTAAAGCTTTGCCAATTCTTCAGAAGGCAGTGAGCAAAACATACCTTTTCTTTTTACTGTAAATAGATGGCTGAGTGATTATTGGGCTTGTTACATGCAGGGGAGGGGTTTTAGCAGACTTGCTATTCATTCCAACTCCTAGATGAGTGGCCTTCCGCTCTGCACGTGAGAAGAATGAAATATATCCCCACTGCTACGACAAACTTGGTCCAACACTCTGTATCTACTTAAAGTGTATTAATAATGTTCAGGTCTCACCTATGGGTATAAATTAGCACATTTAAAGGTTATACAAATTTGTCACACACACACACACACACACTCCCATTTTGATGGTGTATATCTATCTGGAAGGACAGATCCTGAAGCTGAGGCTCCAAGACTTTGGCCATCTCATAAGAAGAAAAATCTCCCTGGAAAAGACCCTGATGTTGGGAAAGTGTGAGGGCAAGAGAAGGGGACGACAGAGGATGGAATGGATGGACAGGATCACCGAAGGGACCAACATGGATTTGACCCAACTCCGGGAGGCAGTGGAAGACAGGAGGGCCTGCTGTGGTCTCGTCCATGGGATCACGAAGAGCTGGACAAGACTAAACAACAACAATCAGTTCCAACCGCCGGTGGCCCAGCGAGTAAACAGCAATCAGTTCCAACCGCCGGTGGCCCAGCGAGTTTCCATGGCTGAGTGGCAATTTGAACTCTCTGGTCTCAAGTCCTCACTGTCCACACGACACTGGGTACTGGGGTGAATAACTAGGTGCTCCTATAAAAATGCTGCTAGGAGAGGTTCACACCTAGCATTGAGACGGGGCTTCCTGAGCAGGGTAGGGTGCCTGGATTTCAGCCTCGGTCCCTGAGCACCTCTGTGTGAAGCGATGCCCGTTGCCTGTTATGGACAACTGAAAGCCACCAGCCCTCGGCATTGCCCTCCCCACGTACTTCTGCTTCTTCCTCTACTAAGGCTAGGACTGCTACTAGTGAGAGTGTGAGAGAGAGACCCTCCCTCCAACAACGCATGTCTCGGAGTGAGGGCTCAGGGAGTTGCAGTCCCGCAACCCTCCAATGGCTCTCCATGCCCCATCCAAGGGATTCCTCCTGATCTTCTCGGACGGCAGCTTCCAGGGTCCCTCTAAACCCTGGGCCGTTCCAGCCGGGGCTCATCGGAATTGCAGGCCAACAGCACCCAGCTGGCCATCTCAAGACCCCAAAGAGCAGAATCCTGTGGCTGGATCCAACCCAGCTTCCTGGTGTTCCCACAGCTGTCAGCCAGGACAGCAATGACCCAGAAAGCCCACCGGGTGATAGGTGAAGGCAGAGGCTCCCCCACCCCCTTTTCACTGTTCCCCAGCAGGACCTTGGCGTTCTTGGGCCCCTTACGCCGGCTTGTCTCCTCGGGCGAGGCATGGCAAGCTCTCTCTGTGCTCACATGCCCTTGTGGCTGAGGTAGAAGCCGGGGCTGGATCCTGAACAGCACAAGGCCACTTTCCTTACTTGCCCAGGTGATCCTGCTTGGCTTGGTTCGGGATTCCAGGCATTCCAACCCACAGACAAGGTGCAAAGGTGTCCAGCTCAGGCCGTGAGTATCAGATCTCTGCTTTTTGTTTTCTATTTCAGATAAGCCCTGAAACAATTAAGGTTGTTCATCCCAAGCCTAGAAAGAGAAACTGGCTTGTGCGGGGGCTGCCGTGAAGCCACTGGAGAGTGAGAGGAGGCTCTCCCAAAGAGGCAGGACTTCATTCCGGCGGAGAGGAGGTCACCTGGCCCCACAGTTATCCAAAGCGGGCAGGCAAGACGGGGCGATTCCCCGCATCGTAGCCACCTCTTGTTTTCTTCCTCTCTGTATCAGTCTGGGATGCAGCTACAAAAGCCAAAGGTCTTCACAGAATCTTCAAAGAACTGAATCAATTTGCTTTTGAAGAAAGGGATGAAAACCAAGAGTCCTCCAACGCACGCATGCACTGACCCCTTTCTCCCTAGGATCCTGACAAACGGAAAGGCTTCTATGCTTTAATATCTTTCCTGCTCACTGGCAAAGGATGCAGGAAACCCTGCCTTCTCTTGGCAGCAGGGTTTCTCGGTAGCAGGGCTGTAAATGGCGCTCTTTAATCAATAGAAGGGCCTTGTTACCCAGCTTTGCCTCCTATGCTAAAACTGTTGAGTGGCCGAGCCCTGAACAAGGAAGCAGGACTAATGATCCAGATGGCCCAGAAAAGAAACACCATCGAGAGAGAAAAGAGCACGCCTCCCTTTTGCCTGGCTGTCTGTTCCACCAGCCTCACTTTCTGCCTTCACTGGATCAGCAGGTAGGGAAACGGCTGCCCTCCAGATGTGTTTGTATTACAACTCCCAACAAGCACAGCTAAGGGTCCAGAATCATGGAAGTCGTAGCCTAGAGGACACCCTCAGCTACTGGTCGCTAAACTACCTAGACATGGCCCCCACCTCCAGACTCTTGTCTCAGCTGAGCACAACAGTTCATGTGGTCTTGCGGTGGGCACTGGGCACCGATTCTGGGCTGTTAAGCATCTCTGCTGATGCCGCTTTGACAGAGGACACCAGTGACACAGAATTGGTGCAGGATCACCCCCACCCCCACCCTGGCAGGCCTTGTTTTCTCAGAGGGGGAGTGAAAAGCTGGCAGCTATAACATCCAAGTTGCAAAAAGCCCCTCCCCGACTCAACACGCCAGGTCTCAGCAAGGGCAGGATAGACACCCCAAATGAAACTCCAGTCCGGAGGAAAAATCCCAGCGTCACCTCTTTAATGGCAAGGAAGAACGAAACATAAGAGCAACTTTGTTGGAAAAAGCAGCATCCCATGTCGGTGGACAGAGGGGGAAACCCTACGGCGTTGGGAGTGATGCTGCCGTGCAATGAGAGTAACAGGGAACCCAGTCTTGCTTGTGATAAAATAAATATTGGAGGAGGGAGCAACTTCTGCAGGAGTGAGCAAGAGAGAACGAGGACCCCCACAGCGGCCTGTTCCAAAGGAGTCGATCTGCACAAAATGAGTTCCTCCCCGCAATCCCCCCTCCCCCAATTTTTGCACAGATCAACTCCTCTGGAACAGGCTGCTGTGGGAGTCCTCGTTCTGAAAGGTGCTCAGGAAGTGGTTCTGTGTCTCTCCCTTGAAGTAAACGACCTTCCTCCCACCCACCACCCTGTTTTCTCAGCCTCTTCTTCCTCCCGATCCTTTCAAAGCCTCCCCTCCTCGTCCTCCACTGAACTCCCAGGAACTGACAGGGACCATGGGAGGAGGAGGAGGAGGGTGGAGGGGGTCCCCTGTGCCGTCCTTGGCTGAAAGGAAGAAGCAGGAACTTCCACAGAAGCCAAGCAGCCGGGAGTGCTTGGGGGGGAAGGTCTGCCCACCTGCCAGGCCAATGCCCCACTGCCTCACTGAGACTATCTGGGGAGAAAATCCACATCAGGAGAGCTGAAAAACTGCCTAGAAGAAGTTGACAAGTCGGAAGTCAAACGTCATGTTCCTGGGCATGTGTGGATTCCCCCAAACGTAGCGCCTTTGGAGGCTGCTCTCCGGCCACCTTCTATGATGCTCCCCATCCAAGCCGAGCCATCAAGACCATGGCAGGGCCCCCGTCCTTCTCCTTCCTACTCAGAGCCCACTGGGAGCGAGGGGCCGGTCTCCCGGTTGCCTGCCTCTCATGGGGGCCGGGAGGGGGGCTCTCAGGGGGACCACCCCTCTCTTCGGTGCAGCTCATCCAGCAGGCGCTGAACGTTGTCGGTGAACTCATTCCGTGTCTTCCCCATGCCGCCCAGCTTCACGGGGGCCAGGCTGGGGTGAGGGGGCTTGTAGGCGTGGGGGCACCAGATGCTGTTGAGAAAGAACCAGACGGCGTCCGGGTCCATCTGCATGAGGTGGAGGAAGATGCTGCGGAAACCGGAAAGAGCAGGAAGAAGGGAGAGGTTGAGTCAAACTACTGCAGGCCACCCGCTCGAGAGTTCCTACAACATCCAGCATTCAGGATACAGCCCCCCCTCCCCGCCCCGTGGGTGTTTGGTCCCTGGACCCAAGGGGCTTGGCCCACTGGTTTCAATGACCTTCTCTAGGCAGGACTAAGCTTGGAGGCAGCCAGAGGCTCGTTTTCCCCCTTTGTGGCCCCACCACCAACCCGACCTCCAGACGCTAACATAGGAAGAGTCCATTTCCAGCACGGCCTGCCACGGTCAGCTTCTTTAGCAAAACAGGCTGTGGTCAACGACAGACTTGGTTGTCAAGGAGCATCACGTTGGAACTGACTTAGAGCGACCCTAATAGGGCTTTCAAGGTAAGTGAGATATTGAACCCGCCGAGTGTCACTGCAAGTCTGCAAAGAGGGAGTTCCCTTCTTTTGCTTCGCAACCCGAACCCAGCGCCTTGCACGAGGGCGGCTTCCCTCTACATCAACTGTAGTTTTTCTTATTCTGGGCAATAAGGACTTCCTCCCTTTTCTAATGAGACGTTGACCCAGGGATCTATTTGCTGCCCTGGCCTGCATCCCCTGCCCATCTGTGGCAGCTCAAGGCATGCCAGAAAATGTCATTTTCCCCCCCACTGGCTGCTTTGCAGCACCCTAAAGTGACCCCGGGTGGCCTTGCACACTCCCTGCTCCAAATCCTCCCCTTCTGATAGGAGGTCCTGCAGCTAGAGAAAAATCCAGACCAGGTCAGACCCTGGACCGCAGATAGGACTTCGGAGCAATCTTATGAGTCCCACTGCACTTCATTCAAATGGTGCATCCCAATTTTTCATTTACTGGGTGGCTAGAATGAGGGAGAGTGTCCAAAGGGCCAAACACCCACAGCCAGTAGTGGTGATGGAGAGGAACTGGCCTTTTCCTCCATAGATCTCAAGGGCCTTCCCGGCTTTATGGCTGCACCGGCTGAGCTGCTCTGCAGGCCAGCGGCTTCCCGGATTCCCTCCAAGCACGGATGGGCCCATGCCCTACAGAGGCAGCCCCGGAGGCTGGCATGAGATGTTCTTCACATGATTTGGAGCTCAGAGAAGCTCTTCAGGGGTGACTGACATCCCGCACAGCCCATCCAAAAGGGATAAGCAGAGCTGCTCTTCCCCCCCTCCCGAGGAGACCGCTGCTGGCCCGGGGGAAAGAGATCAGGCAGGGGAGGGCCAAGCAGCCTCCCTGAAAAGGTGGCAGAAGCGCTTCAGTGGGGACCCCACACAAAGAAGAGGACGGTTCCTGCTTCTCTTCTGGGGTACAGCCAGGGACATTTCCAGGGCTCACCAAGCACACACACACACACACACACACACACACGGGTATGTGCCTGTTTTACTGCCGGTTGACACCAAAAACATGTGCAATCTTGCTATGCCTTCATCCCACTCCTTCCCCTCCAGGGCACCAAAAAAATGACAAAAGATTATATACTTTCCTTATTCCTGCTTTTAAGCACAAGGAGCTAAACCTGACCCTTTTCTTGGTCTGCAGGGAAGACACGAGAGGCTGAGGTCCCCGGAGGGATGCCGTGAAGGCCACAATCCCGCAGGACAGACAGCAACAATATCATAGAACAACAGAGTGGGGAGAAACCTTTAAGGCCACCCTCCCGCTCAAGGCAGGAATCCCAATCCAAGCCATTCAGATAGAGGGCTGCCCAACAACTGCCAACGTGAGCCCCCCCTCCCAATAAGGCTGCCCTCTGCCAAGCTAGGAGGCGGATCCACCCTTGGTCAAGGTGGCTGCCTCGAGGGGACAGAAATCCCTGGCACAGCCTCCCCCCCCCCCCCCCCAAATCTATCCCTCAATATGCCAAGGGACCAAGAGCTTCCTCCACAGCCAACACACGCTCAGTGCTGAGGGCCCTCCTTGTCATCATCCCAGACGACCATGGGGCACGCAGTTCTTTAGGGGAAGCAGCTTGCCGGAGCAGCGACGGCTAGCAGAGAGGGTAACGGTGGTGGTGGCCCAGTTTGGAGATGGGACCGATTTTGTGGGGGACTCAGTCCAGCCACGGACAAAAGAGAGACAGCTGGACTCCATGTACAGATGCAGCGTTCACCTGTCCTGGCAGCTCAGCCTTCTTTTGGCCGACGGCCCCGGGCACAGCACAGCTAGGCAGAGATTACGGCCAGGTGGCCGAGGTCAAACAAAAGGACACCAGCTTTTTCTGCAGAGGCCCGAAGGCTAGCAAATCTCTCTGGGGGGGGAGGGAAGGTCTCTCCAGCTGAAGGAGAGGAATGTGGCTTTGGCATTCCTTCCTTCCCTTTCAATTCTGCTCTGGTAGTTTCCAAGCAACCTCCATCTCCATGGCAAAAGATCCCAAGGTTAAGTCAGACTAGGGTGGCTACACTTGCTTTTGTGTGGTGTAATTTATCGGGGGGGGGGGGGAGGGGCGGNACGTGTGCATGTGGACATGTGCTTTTTTGCTTTGTAGCCTACTGCCTTGCAGCTCACCTCCGGAAGATGAAAACTGCCATGCGCTGCCTTACGATGGCTGGAGGGATCTCGCAACTGCGGGCTTGCCTAAGCCAGTTTGCAGGACCTCCTCCCTGCCCAGCGCGTCTCCTGGGATCTTGGATCAGATTAAGACCTCAACGGCCAGCAGGACAAGGAAGCGCCTGCTGCGCCTCTTTGCACTGGAAGAGAGTACGAGGCAGGCTCTGAATTTTCCAAGAACGGCCCTATTTAAATGATTTTACTGCCTGCCACAGTAAAGGAGGCAGCGAGGCAAAATCCACACACCTTGGGTGGCTTTTCCTGCAGCCTCCTTTGGCTATTTGTACACGGAAAAGCAGAATTTAAGTATTTTGACTAATTGGGTTATTTGGAATAATTGGATTGTCCACGTGACGTGTGACTGCAGTAAGTGCTTTGTCATTCAGGTTAAAAAAAACACACAACACCACACACAATACCACCCTTGCTTCTTCAGGATGTGTGACAGATGTTTGACATGGTTAGGGTCAGAGTGCTGAAGCACCACAAGGACAGTGTAAAGGTCGTGCAACGCCGACCTTTGGCCTGAGACGATGGGTGCATCTTTGCTTGCTGGAGATTCAGGAGGGTTTGCAGAGGCGAA